AAAGAAAGTGAGAAAGCAAGCCTCCAGGTCCAGAATTTGAACTGGGGTTGGCCATGTGGGAATCCAGCACCTTTAACCACCACACCACCTGCCGGCCCTCCAATTACAATTTGATGATATCACAGAGAAGAAAAGAAACAGAGGATGATAAAAAGAAATGAGAAAAATAGAAGAAAGGCTCCAAGTGGATTTACGCTTAACCGGAATGAAGGCAAGAATGTTAAGCACCTTCTTTGTACAAAGAGTTACATGTTAGAGATATTAGAAGAACTTAGGAAGGTTCATGTCAATTAAAGGTGATTGTGCTGAGGTATGAATGCATTGAGCCCAACTACAGGTCTAAGAGAATGCTGGCTACTGAGAGATGTAAGCATTTCCAACTGGGAGGAGGTAAGAAGAAAAGGGCCTAGTGATCCAGTTCTAAACTTCATCTTTTGTTTTATTATAAAGACAATAAAATCTTGAGGTTAATATTCTCCTGAAAAAGAGGAGGGGGGAAGTAATTGATTCTATAAAAGAGTCCCCAGGTCTAGTAGGTTAGAAGTTATCACCTAAAAGGACTCCTGATTTCCAAATCTCAGCAAATACTGCTGTTATCAACAAAAATAGGAAAAAAATCAGATAGAGATGGGTTTGGAGAGGAAAGATATGACAAACTCAGTCTTTGCCATGTGGAGGTGGAGTTCCAGAGAGGCATCAACTGGCAAAATACAAAAGTTAAAAACTGTAAGACTAAAAGTACATATCAGAAGAGATATAAAGAATGGGGGGGGGGAGTTACCTAGACAGAAGTTTTGGCTGAGTCCATGAAAATGGTGCAGGTTGCTGAAGAGTGAAAAGCTAAGGTCAATATCCTAAAGGAAACATCATGTGCTCAAGAGTTTGTACATAGTGTTAACAGTGAGAATATTTTTTTCATTGAAATATGCCAAGCAGGGCAGGCAAGTGGTTAAGAGCACTGGACTCCTGCATGGCCGTCTATGGTTCAAGTCCCGGGCTTGGTGGCTTGCTTTCTCACTTTCTCTCTCTCTCTGTCCCTCTCTGGTCAAATTAAAGAAATAGATGAATAAATAAAGTTAAAAATAAAATAATTTTTAAAAATATGCAAAGCAAGGAGAGGATGGAAGGAGCTTATAGTAAAATCAAATGAATGTTTAAAATAAAAAGAAAGAAATACACGAAGCTGAGAAATAAAGTACACAGGGTCTTCAAAAGTTCATGAAAATGAATATTATAAAAAACTGCACATGTATTTATGGCCAACAGGTGGTGTGAAGGTTGAAGTGGTTGGATCCCACATGGCTGACTTTGTGGTTTGAGTCTCGGGCCTGGAGGCTTGAAAAATCACAATGTGTACCTGTGTTGCATGCCCAAAATCTCAAGAGGAAAATGGAAGAGAAGAGATTGCAGTGTATGCAGTGTAGTCATCATCTTGGGGGAATGATTTCTTACCTCTCCTCCCTATTACCCAGTATCTCAGTGTACTATGGCATGAGTGTACACCGTCTATAGCAAACTAAAAAAAAAAAGTACATGGATTTAAATTTTTTTGGCACCAAAGTGAACTCATAGTTTAACTCCATTTTCTGCAAACTTCTAGAAGTCCCTTCATGCAAGTAAAATCATTAAAAATTGAATTCTTTTTTCTATGAGGATAGGAATGGGCTGTAATTAAACACTAAATATAATGAAAAGATGTCATTGTGGGGATTCAGTTGGAAATCAATAAAAAGCCAATAAGGAGACTTAAATACTGACGAAAACCCAATTACAATCAATAACAAAATTAAAAATGTAATAGATTCAGTCACCTTGCTTTTGTGACCTCTACCAGTACTAGAAGCAAAGACATCAGACAATGAGGCCCCGGGGAATGGAAACCAGAACAGTATACAGCACAAAATGCCCAATGGCAAGCAAGTCTAAGCAAAAAGCAGTGTTGAACAAGCAGGTCACACGGTCTACATTCGAGAATGAGATAAGCAGTGTAGAAAGCCACTGAGTGGTCAGAAGATAAAAAGAGGAGAAATGGAGCTCAGAACAAAATGAGAGATGGTTCAGAAGAAGTAAAGAGGTAGAAGAGGATGAAGGTAGGTAGGTAGGTAGGTAGGTAGGTAGGTAAATAAATAAATAAATAAATAAATAATTAAAGCTGATGTCAAAGAGAAAACACATTTCTTTTTTAGACAGGTTCTTGTTGTCACAATCCTCCTGCCTCGTCCTCCTGAGTCCGAGATTATAAGTGTGTGCCACCACATCCAGTCTTTAGGTTGGACCAGGAATTGATCCCAGGCCTCTCATGTGGGTCTCAGTAGCATGTGCCACTGGGGATGGGACAGAAAACACTTTTTAATTTAATGTTTTGAAGGTGGTGCAGTTTTTACTAATGACACAGCCAATGTGGGATAGCTTAATGGCTAACGTAGAAATAAGTGGAAATGGAAAAGGAGGACGAGCAAGTGTGAGAAGGACTTCCAAACAGCTTGGGAAGCAGTGCTATGTCACAGAAGCTTTCTCACCTATAAACTAGGGATGAAAATATATTTTATAAGATTTTTATAAGAAATTGAAATAATCAAAGACAAGAACCTACACAGTGGTTGATACTAGGACATATTTTAAAAGCAGGCTGCTGCCATTACTGAATCTCTTCCCCCATGTCCTTTTGGAAAACAGCTCCAAGAGTGCCCACTCCACAGTGCCTAATGCATAGCACACTGCATGTCTCAAAGTATTCAATAGACCGCAATGAAAAGTGATCTACATGCTGTTTGTTCATTAGTTCCTACAATTATTTCTCCACTTAACTAACATTTACTCAGCACTATTTGAATACCAAGCACTGGGAGAGAGAATGGTGGGAATAATCACTGTATTAGTAATGGCAACTAACATTTACCAGGTTCTTATTATTAATCCTAAGCATTATTTTGACTAGCTTTCATTTAATTCATTAGTCATCAAAACAACTCTAAGAAGTAGGCGCTTTTATTATCCTTATTCTGTAGGTGAGGACATTGAAATTCAGAGGCAGTAAATTGAGGGACCAGCAGGTAGCATAATGGTTTTGTCACTGAACTCCCATGTAGTCGACCGCAGTTTGAGTCCTGGACCCGGTGGCTTAAGACTCACACCAGGTGAGTTGTGTGAGTGTGTGTGTGTGTGTGTGTGTGTGTGTGTGTGCCCAAAACCCCGAGAGGAGAATGGAGGAGAAAGGATTGCAGGAAATTACCCTCCAGTGGGTAATTTCTCATTTTGTCTCTCTGTATCTCTGGTGAGCACACAAGTCCTATAGCAACAACAAAAAAATAAAAAATAAAAATCTCTCAGAGGCAGTAAATTGAATAATAATAGTTAAATCTATGTGGTGGCATTGGAATACAAAACTAGGCATTCTGGCTCCAGAGTGAGGTTCTTCACCATCCTTTACCAACTCTGGGAAGAGAATCTTCTGCCAATCAAATGAACGTTTAATTCTTATTTCTAAATATCTTACCTGCTCCATGTAGTAAGTTTAGGAAAAAACAGAGAGCTCTTCTGTGTCACATATATTTTTTTAAAAAACAATGATTTTTTAATTTTATTAATTATTATTGTTATTTTTAAAAAAATTTTTATAGGGCACATGAGCTCATTGGAGAGAAACAGAGAGAAAAAGACAGAGGGAAGTGAGAAACCAAGCCAGCAGGTCTGAGACTTCACCTGCAGTCAGCCATGTGAGAGTCCAGCACCTTAACCACCATACCACCTGCTGGCCCCATCACATGTATTTTAAAATATCAAAGTTATCAGAAGTCTAAGACTTCTTGAAGTTATCTTTTTCTTACCATTACTTCCAAAGACATGTAAGCTCTCTTAGCAAAAACTCAGAAGTTCTAAAATTAGATCAAATTAAGGTACCTAACCTTAAGGAGTCTACATCATACCTGCGGAAGTGAAAGTTATATATACTTTAAAAGATAACCGAGAAGAATATAGAAATGGCTTAGGACTGTGCAATGAGCATGTAAAGAAAAATCACTTTCAACTTGGGGAGAGTGGATAAGGGGCCAGACAGGGGAAGCTTCATAGAAGAGGTGAGTTCTAAATTAGCCTTTAAAGAAAAGGGCAAGAGGTATTTCAGAGAGAGACTGAGGCCAGAAACGGAAAAAGTGTTTGAAGAAAATCAAGTCAGCAATAGCATTGTAGTAGATTTCTGTAGGGGTGTGGTGGCAGAAATGTCTAGAAGGGCAGACTGGCAAAGATCACAGACTTAAATGCCAGCCTCACAATCAAGGGAGGGAATCTCGTCTGCCACATTCTGTCTAATACAATTACTGAAACACTTATCCCTTTCTTACTGGAGCACGAATTTGTTGAATTGATGCTATAGTCATTTATTAAACTGCCAAAATTGGAGGGAAAAAAGAAGTACAGAAATTATAAAGTTGCTTTTAAGAAGCATAACTCATAGAATAACTTACAGATCTCCTGTCTCAACTTCATATTCATTTGTTACATTTCTTATATTGCCCTTAATAATGATATACGTGAGAGATATGCTTTATGCCTCTACTTGAACACTTTTCAGTGTAGGGCCTGGAATGCCCTATAACATCTTACCTAATCAAGTCAAATCCTGGTGTGAGAAAAGATAGTAGAGAAAAGAGGTTATGAAACGTCAGTTTTCTGTATGTGAGTTCTCTAAATCAAAATAATCAAAACTCTCCACATGCCACAAATACAAGATTTTTCACTGAAGAACAAATACAGGAGGAACCAGCAGTTAGCATAATGGCTACTGGACTCCCATGTAGTTGACTGTGGTTCGTGTCTTGGACCCGGTGGCTTAAAACTCACGCTGGGCATGTGTGCGTGCGTGCCCAAGATCCCGAGAGGAGAATGGAGGAGAAGGGATTGGGGCGTGACCATCCCCCCTGGGGGGTGATGTCTCGCTTTCTGTCTCTCTCTGTCTTTTCTGGCAAGTGCAAGCGCACGCGCCCAATAGCAGAAACCTCTCCAAAAAAAAAAAAGAAAAAAAGAACAAATACAGGAAATGGCTTTTGTATGATAGTGTAGGTATTGTTGCTTTTGTCATCCAGAATCTTTCTTTTCCCTGTTCTATCTTTGTTGGGGTTAGGGTGAGCAGGACAGGGCAGTCATACCCTCCACCCTATTGGTGATGTGTCTGTGGTATGGCCAATATCAGCCCAGCTCCAGGGTACAGCATATTGTCAGTGGTTGGAGTCGGACACATGATTGAAGCTGAAGTGTTTGGCACTAACCCTATTAAGATTCAAAAAGAACAATGGCCTCCTGTGAACTCAGAGTTCCTACAATGTGGGGCTGAAACTGCTAAAAAAAACTCTTACTACCACAAAAGGAGACCCTATCTGAAAATGAAGACAACTCAGAAGAACTGAAACCTAGAAATAGATATGGGGAATTTGAGAACTAATGACGTTGTTTAAATGCCTACATCAAACCCCACTTAAACCAGTGTTGCTTTTTCTCTTCTTCTTTTGGGTTGAGTTTTCTTTCACTTTCATCCCAAAGAATACTGACACAAATGGTAATAGTTAAATCCTAAAACAAGAAAATGAGGTCAACTTCTTAGTGGCACTTACCTATTATTATGCATAATTATATAAATTGTTTATATCAATAATCAACTTTAAAACAAAATTTAAAACATAAATCTGGCATATTTGAACATAGCTTTTCACTTTCCACATTGCTGTGCCTATCTTGTTTCCAGACAAAAATCAGCATTTTATCCTCAGAAGGCAGAAGAAAATCAATGATTATAACTTTATAGTACAATATTAAAGCTATCCCTACATCATTAAAAGAGTTATTTTTAAAAAAGAAAGAAAAAGAAAAAAATAAGAGACTTTAAAAAAAAAAACCCAAAAAACAAATTTAACTATCCAGAAGCCATGAACTTACTTGAAGCTGGAGAGTATGTCGAAGAATTGTTTCTTCTAAGGCATGGATCCACTTCTCTCGCTCATCAGCATCACGAGCTGGAATAAAATATCAAAAATTAAAAATTTAATTTCTACAACTTATCTCCTGTTTGAAGTAAATATTTAAAACCATATGCTAACAGAAAAGGTTTTTAGTTGTGCCATTTCCTTAATAGGTTCACCTTGATCTAGCCTCTCTAGATATGCAGTATACTTACAACAATTTATAACAAAGGGAATAACTGTATTCAATAATAAGAGATTACACAGTTCAGACCATCCTTTCCACTGAGAACTAGAAAAGCTGTACTGAAAAACAATTGGTGTAGGTGTCAGCAACCAACAAAATGGTAAAGAATTACCAGGTCAAGATCTTCCAGAAGTCAAAAAATTAAAAGATAAGTCTGGTATTTAGGGCCAGCTTTCTCTTGGAGGCACTGTAAATTCCAGCAGAGAGATAGATTGCACAAGACGATTAAAAGCCTTCTTAAGAGTTCAAGGGCACTGGGTATATGGAAATTCTACTTCCTCAAAATGCATTTAAGAAATAAAGGCCATTAAAAAAAAAGTCTTTTCAATTAGGACCAGCAGTTAGCATAATGGCTATGTTGCTGGACTCCCATGTAGTCGACTGCGGTTCGAGTCCCAGGCCCGGTGGCTTAAACTCACGCTGGGCATGTGTGCGTGCGTGCCCAAGATCCCGAGAGGAGAATGGAAGAGAAGGGACTACGGCGTGACCATCCCCCCTGGGGTGGTGACTTCTTGCTTTCTGTCTCTCTGTCTCTCTCTCTCTGTCTGGCGAGCACACGCGCCCTATAGCAAAAACCCCTCCAAAAAAAAAGAAAGAAAGAAAAAAAAAAAGTCTATTCAAGCAAAAAGCTATAGACCAGGGCCCACTAACAGTGAGGGTGCCAACAGTAAATAAGTCATGTGGGTTTTTTTAGAGGTTTTTTGCTATAGGGCGCATGCGCTCACCAGACAGAAGAGAGAGACAGAGAGACAGAAAGCGAGAAATCATCCCCCGGGGGGGATGGCCACGCCGCAATCCCTTCTCCTCCGTTCTCCTCTCAGGATCTTGGGCACATGCGCGCAAGCGCCCTGCGTGAGTTTTAAGCTGCCGGGTCTGGGACGCGAACCACGGTCGACTACGTGGCAGTCCAGCGACATAGCCATTATGCTAACTGCTGGTCCCAATAAGTCATGTTTTGAATTGAGACCTCAAATGGTCTCTTACTTTAGAAATAAGGATAAAATAGAATTAAAACATTGGTCATTTGGGAGGCCCCAAAAAATCTTGATACATGAAATGAATTAAAACAGTCCTAGACTATTCGTGACGCCAGACATCTAGCAAGCAAAATCAAAGGAAAATCTTTTCTATAGGATAATAACATCATCTTAGTTGCTGAACTGTATTCCTATAAAATCTTTCAAATACAATGCCCAGCACATAAACAAAGATAACCAAGCATACACACTTGGAGACACTTTTGGAGACAAAAACCACAGATAAATGAGAACAAGAAGAAAACAGAAACAGATCATGAGAAGTTCCAGATTATTTTATAAATGACAAATTTTTTCCTGAGGTTATGTATGTTACTTAATATTTTTTATTGGTTTTTCATTTAGATTTTTAAAATAATAGAATATAAACTATAAAATTGATGGAGCCAAGTGGCTCCATAGCTCAGTATGAAGATAGCCAGGCCCCAGTGGCTGACAAAAGTTCTAATTCCAGCCCCAGGTGGCTTGAAAAACACACCGGAACTGTGCACATGCCCCAAAATCCTGACAGGATGAAGAAATGGGAGGAAAAAGGATCGTGCCATGACCACACCCTAACAAGGGTGCTTTCTCTCTCTCTCTTTTTCTCTCTCTTTCTCTGGTGAGTGCACTTGCCCGCTAGCAATAAAAAAATGAATAAAATTAAATTGATGAATCAAGTTCTGTGACACAGCATTAATGCACTGCTTAAGAGAAGTTAGGTCCAATATGGCAACCACTGTTTCAATCCCCAGCCCAGTCTACCCAAGACATGCCACATACAAACACAAGTTTCCAGGATCCAAAAGAAGGGAGGATTGGAAAAAGGATCACAGTATGATCATGCCCTGTGAAGGGCCCTAGTGTCTCTCCTTCCCTCTGTCTCTCTCTTACTCTCAGGTGTGCATGCCCATGCTATATCATGAATAAAGAAAAAAAGTAAATACTGTCAGCAATGGAGAAACTGAAACACAGGATCATTTTTGAGATCTTCAGCTTAGAACTATATAACCCTAATCTAATCACGAAGAAAAGATAAGAGAAGCAAATCAGGGGACTTTTACAAAATAGCTGGTCTATAATCTTCAAAAATGTCAAAGTCATAAAATTCAAGGAAAGACTGAATGTTATGGTCTGTTTTATTGCTAATAACAGAGATATCTGAGTCTGGGTAATTTCTAAACAGAGGTTTATTTAGCACATAGTTTGGAGGCCCACAGTCCAGGGGCCACAACATGGTGGAGGGCAGGAGTGCACACATCTGTGTCTGAGTCTCTGGTCTCACTCCCTCTCCTGATAAACCTACCAGGAGTGAATCATGAGGCCCTACCTCAATAACTTTAATCCTAATCTCCCAGAGGTCCTATATTTCAATACCATAGTTGGACTAAATTTTCACCCTCTTAATCCCATCACAACCAAATTTCAACACAAAAATTTGGGGGGAACAAAGCTATAGCACTGAGATAGTTTGAAACTGTTCCATACTATAGGAGTCTAGTGAGGCATGAAAACTAAGAACAGCATGTGATTCTAAATCAGATCCCTTTGCTATGAATCACATTATTGGGACAAGAGATAAATTTAAATGGAGTCTAAGGATTAGATGGTATTAATATATTAATGTGATTTCCTTCTAATAACATTTCCAATGTTAATGTCTGTAGTGTGCATATGTGGGAAATTTTCCTTTTTTGCTGAAAATAATGATAAAGCATGCAGAAAAAAGTCCTTTATACTATATTTGCAACTTTTCTGCAAGCTTGAGTTTATTTTTAATTTTTAAAACTTACATTTTTAAAAAGTACATAATAAATCAAAGAAGACTTAAATAAATGAAAATACCATATTTATATCATATTTATAAAGTGGAAGCTTCAATACTGTAATGAGATTCAAACTCATCTATAGAGCAAATACAAAGCCAATTAAAAGTTAAAATATATTTTGTGGAATTTGTAAAACTGATCCTAAAAGGATACAAAGGGAATAAAGAACAGCAAAGACAGGGCCAGCAGGTACAACATGGTTGTTAAGGCACTGGACTCCCACATGGACAACCACAGTTCAAGTCTCAGACGTGGTGGTTTGAAGGTCATGCCAGGCACATGTGTGTGTGTGTGTGTGTGTGTGTGTGCACCCAAAATCCTGGGAGGAGAAGGTATTGCTGTGGCAATCCACCTGGGAGTGATTTCTCACTTTTCCTCACACTGTCTCTCTCCAGCAATCGAACATACCCTTTGGCAAAAACTAGGAAAAAAATAGCAAAGACTTTCCTGAAAAGAAGACTTTTTAGAGAGTATACTAACTAAAAATAAATGTAAAGCAGTAATAAGAAGCTGTGATACTGAAGCAAGGATAAATTAAACTAAGAAACACAATAGAGCCAAGAAATAGGTCCACTCATATATACAGATACTTGAAGGTGACAAACGGGACAAAAATGGAGGTGACATGCCAATCAGAAAGTTGTTTTAATAATGAGGCCTGAATTGAAAAATGGCTGAGACTTGACAAAAAGATGTCATTCTCACTGCCATCTCTTGACAACCATCTTTAAAGCTGCAATCACTTTACAAATGAAATCAGATACCAAGTTTGCCAGACTCTTCCTTGAGATGGTCTCTCAGTCTATCCTTTCTTTCAGTTCCTACTGATACCATGCTGTTTCAAGCCCTCATCATCTCATGGCTATTTATAAAATATCATCACAAATATCATATATTTGCTAAGCTCTACCACCTCCAATACAGCCTGCATACCTCACTCAGATCAACCTATATTGAAAGGTTGCCATTTCCAGCAAATATCTCAGTGTTCTCCTATAACCTACAGAATTCAGCCCAGACTCCTGGCCTGGCAGTAAAAACCCTTCGCATTTATTCCATGCTTTATAGGAACCAAACCACCTTCTCTCTGACCCCTAAATACTCCACACGAGTTATCTTCCTGCTCATGGCATATCCTCCCTAGTCTCAAACCTTAAAACCTCAATTCTCTCACTTTGTACTATATCAAAAACATATATCCATATCTATAGATTTTAAATCATTTCAGTAGATGGACCATAATCTTCTTAAGCAGCTCTCCTGGTCTGATACCCAGGGTTGCGCTTATGCGCCCCAACTCTCTGCAAGCTGCTTAAACTCTCAGAGCTTTACTTTTTCTCTTGTGTCATCCAAGAATGACAACAGCCCCTTGACTTTACAAGGTTGTTGAGAGGTTTATATCAGATAATCTATAAAATATTTACCACAGTGTCTGACATATTCTAAAATACCACTGTTGTTGTTATAACGCACAACCTTAAGGTAAAATAAATTCTATTAATCTACTACATAATTAATCATTGAAAATTAGTAGAGAAGAGATTACTGTAACTCCTAGATTTCAAAAATGCCTGGCTCATATGGAAAAAAATATAAATGTGCACAGGACCAGCAGTTGGCTAATGGCTATGTAGCTGGACTCCCATGTAGTCGACCACAGTTCGAGTCCTGGACCCAGTGGCTTAAACTCACGCCGGGTGCATGTGCGTGCATGCACAAGATCCCGAGAGGAGAATGGAGAAGAAGGGATTGAAGCATGGCCATCCCCCCTAGGGGGGTAATTTCTCACTTTCTATCTCTCTGTCTCTCTCTGTCTTTCTGGTGAATGCATGCACCCTATAGCGAAAAACTCTCTAAAAAAAAATAAATAAGTAAATAAGGTACACAAGGGGAAAACAGTATTTGTCTGGTAAGTAAAATAAAATATTTTTAGGATTTTACAATCTTAGCTCTTTTATTACA